TGATTATATTTTCCTGTTCGTGTTTGCATAGTTCACTACAATGAGTACATACGGAAAAATGATCAATGGATTTCAATACGAAAATTTGAGCCCTAAACCCTGAAAGTTTGATTCTAATATGTTATAAACTCTGCCATGGCAGAAATTATAAGGCACTGGCTTCTGAACACCAACACGCCATTTTGCTAATAATTTTTCTAACCCGTCGACCATTTATTGTGACACCAACCATTTCCAGTAACACTACAAATCTTCTCATAAAATGGACGTACGTGGTGATGCCCAAAAAGCATTGCTGAAAATAAGGCCGCAAATGTTGCCAAAATTTGCTATGGTGCTGCCCCTTGAGGGAAACACCTCGGGACGGTGGACCGTCACATAAGTTGATTTTAGGCCACGTTTCTTGTTTCCTCGCCATGACTTTTGTCACTGAATAGATGAAATATTGTAGTGATATATTCATGCAATGGATACGACAGCACCTAAGGTGTCATTTGCCCTGTCAATTCACTATTCCACACCGTCCGCACGTCGCGCGCCAACGACACCTTGCATCCGTCGCCCGCGGCCGAATTTGAGGAGATCGGTCGGGATCCGTCGCCGACCCTCTGACCTCGCCTTCATGCGCCACCGATGGCCGTCTTCCTCTGCAATGATGCTGCTGCATCACCGCTGTGCCTCACGTCGCTCCGTCAGACCCGCTGGCTGACGCTCGATAGGGGAGAGGGAGGGAGGGGTTCCGACTGAAATCAACTGGAGAGAATGAGGAGGTGGAGAGAGACCGGGGGTGGGGGTGGGAGAAAGACCAGGAAGTGGTGGAGGAGTGGGCGTCATTCACTCGGCACCTCCCCATAGCGAACATGTGCGTGTTGCCGACCTGGCAGGTCCAACGTGCACAGTGGCGAAGCTTGGAACACATTTTAGGAGGGGCAAATGGGCTGGGGGACCAACATCATGTTTAGGCTTGATTTCTGTGAATCTATGGCAATTTACTGATCATAATATGAACATATCTCCTGGACTGGGGGGCGATGGCCCAGGTTGATCTCCACTAAGCTCCGCCATTGAACGTGCGTCAAGGTTCGTGATTCCGATCCAACGGTGGCTAGGCAGTTCACATGAGATGTCAAAAATATCTGACGTTCCCCAATTAGCTTTTTCCGAAAACATAACTATTTCTATCCAATATATATAGGACGGAAACACTAACGCCCACATGTGTGGGCGTTAGCCAACTCGCCCACACGCCTCGATCGCCGTCCAGTGTCTTTTGCACGAATCTTGACACAAAAAGGCTGATTTTATGTGCCACGTAGGACAATCGTGTGTGTGGCGTATGAGGAAGTTCGCCCGCACGCCGGTTTTCTCTCCGCGGTCAGCGCGAAGTTGCCCGAACGTCCTTTTCTTTCTCGCTCGCCCACCGCTCTCTCTCCTTCACCTTATCCATTTCCCAGTCCCCACACGGCCACACCCCCACGAGCAGGAGCTCAATCCCGAGTGACCCCGGCGCCTCTCCCACACCTCCGGTGGCCGGCGAACATCGACGAGCGCAGACGGGTTTCTTCCCACAGCCCCGTGCCGCTCCTCTTCTTCCCCTCTACTTGTATCCCCTCTCATATGTATCTTTGTGCTGACCGGTAGGTGGCCGGCGAGATGGGCAGTGGCAGGCGTGAGCGGCGGGGAGGGGCGGGTTGGTGGTGAGCACCGGGTAGATCCCCCTTCTCCCATGGCGGCTTGGGTGGCGGTGAGGAAGAGCTGCGTGGTCTTCCTGGCGGTGAGGGGGAGGTCCAGGGGGACCGGATGGCTGAAGCGGAGGAGGCGGGCGCGCGTGCGGCTACTTCTGAGGTTCGAGCTCCGCCGCGCGCTAGTCTATTTGCGTGCTGCCGCCGCGCTACTCGCCAACTCCTGCCCTGGGAAAGGCGGCGGCGAGCCGGCGGGTGTCCCTGGTGGGGCTCGGCCTCCGCGGTGGACGCAGGCGCGGGCCGGAGCTACTCGATCCGGTGGGCAAGCGCCACCCCACGTTCTTCGTCAACATCGACGGGCTTGCGGTCGTGAGGGGCAATGGCTTGTTCGTCAGGGTGTCGCGGCGGCCCAACAACTACTACAATCATGGCAACATCCGCGCGCTCGATGTGATCTTCAGGAAGGCCTGTCTGCTCCATGCTCCTCCGGCACGCGATGCCATGGAGGTTTGGTTTCCCCTCTCTCAGCTTGGTGTGTTGTGTGTTCATGCACACGGCAACAGGGCGTTGATTCTTGTTTGATCAATCATCTGCGTACAGTTTTGAATCTGATAATGGTATAGAATAGATGGATAATCTTTAGTTTCCATGGGCGGTTTTCGAGCGTGCAGGGATGGCAACTTTAGAGTCATGGCAATTTATGATGATGCCATGGTAAATTTCAGAGACATGCTAAATTTTACACCCATGGCATTTTAAGTTAATCACATAGCTTAAACATGTGTACCTGTAGCAGTGCCCCAGGTCACAAGGCCTGCTAGTGAACTGGTGTTGTTGTTTACAGAATACATGTGGTCAGATTAAGGTTAGAAATCATGGCAATTGTTACACTTTTATCGTTGGCAATTCTGTAACGTATATTTCCATTTTTAAGCAAAACGCCATGGCAAATTTGAATATGGATATGCCATGGCAATTTTTATTCATAATTTGTAGCCATGTCCCTTGTAATACAAGCACTTATTTTTTTAAGCCTATGGCAATATTTAATTAAGCCCATGTCCCTCGTAATACAAGCCCATGTCAAAGTTATATGTGTACGTAGCATGCCAATTTTTCTGCATTTGATGACATAGCAAGTTTAGAAAATGTTCCTATGAGCTTTATTCAGAGTTTGCCATGGCAAAAATGTCATGTTATTTTGTCATGGCAAATTTAGTTATTTTTAACACACCCATGCCAATCTTTATGCTTTTGTTTCTTACTTAACCACGTCAAATTTAGTTTGTTGATAATGGCAAATTTAGTTTATTGACCATGGCAATCTGATTTTATTCGATCATGTCAATTTTAGTTTATTTGGTTCATGGAAAATTTAGTTTACTAGTCACGGCAAATTTCATTTTCAAATCATGGCAATTTTTACTTTATGTGAATTCCGCCATGGCAAGTTTTGATACGAATCTGCCATGACATTTTTCTTGTTCATACATGACTTTCAACTTTTTGTGTTTTTTTTCACACACGGCAAATTCATCATACAAACACTAGGCAATTCTTGATACGAATTTGTGGCAATTTTCTCATTCATATTTTTTGATTTTCAACTTTTTGTGTTTTTTTACACACACGGCAAATCGTAATACCAAAGCACGACAATTCTTGATACAAATCTTCCATGCCAAGTTTTGATACAAATTTGGTTTATTGATCATCGCAAATTTTAGTTTATTGGTTCATGGCAAATTTAGTTTACAAATCATGGCAAATTTAGTTTATTGATCATGAAATTTTTTAGTTTCAAATCATGGCAATTTAGTTTACATGATTTTTCTGCCACGGCAAGTTTCAATATGAATCTGCCATGGCAATATTTCTTGTTCATGGCAAATTTAGTTTACGTGAATTCCGCCGTGGCAAGTTTTGATATGAACCTGCCATGGCATTTTTCTTGTTCATACTTGATTTTCAAAAAAAAATCTTTTTTTGGCACACGGCAGATTCATCATTCAAACACACGGCAATTCTTGGTACGAATTTGTCATGGCAAGTTTTGATACGAATCTGCCGTGGAAATTTTCTTGTTCATAATTTTTATTTTTCAACTTTTTTCTATTTTTACACACACGGCAAATTCATCATACCAGAACACGGCAAATCTGTCATGCCAAGTTTTGATACAAATTCAGTTTATTGATCATGGCAAATTTTAGTTTATTGGTTCATGGCAAGTTTAGTTTACAAATAATGGCAAATTTAGTTTATTGATCATGGCAAATTTAGTTCTCAAATCATGGCAATTTAGTGTAAATGATTTTTTCTGCCATGGCATTTTTTCTTGTTCATGACAAATTTAGTTTACGTGAATTTTGTGGCATGTTTTGATACGAATATGCCATGGCAAGTTTCTTGTTCATAGTTGATTTTCCAAGTTTTGTATGTTTTTTCACACACGATAAATTCATCATACAAAATACGGCAATTTCTTTAATACCAATCTTCCATGGCAAATCTCTTTGTTCATACTTGATTTTCAACTTTTTGTGTATTTTCTCACACACGGCGAAATTCTCCTTCAAAACACGACAATTTTAGGTAAACTTTCATGGAATTTTTAATAAAAAATGCCATTGCATTTGTTATCTTTTACTGTCCTATCAAATTTGTGTTCTTTTCACATGCATTTTTCAACTATTTTTTTTTCACATGGCAATATTAATTTTTTCTGTCATGGCAGATTTGCCACATTTCATTTTGGGCATTAAATATGTGTTTATAAACCTTTGTCATTGTTAAAAAACAATATAATGGCAAATAGTTTGGTCAAACTCAAATGGCAATTTTTTTTGCTATTTTTCGAAGCAGCTGATGGCATTTCTTAGTAGCTGAGCAAAATCTGGCTTTTATTTGTTGCAGAAAAAAAACTAAAATTTGGGCCCTTTCATTTAATTCGTTCTCAGTTGGCCTTTTGTTCCTTCCTTCACAGTAAAAAGGGCCTGGTGTGATGGAGGCGTGTGGGCTGTAGGTACCCCTGCCGAACAAATTCGTGCGGGTGATCGATACCCTCGTATCGAACAAGTCGTGTGGTAGGGTGCTTCTCCTGCCACACGTGTGGGTATTGCTAATATTCGCCCACACAGGATCGTGTGGGCTGCTTGCTGGATATCCACATAGGGGCGTGTGGGCGGGTTTTTGTTGTGCCACACGTGTGGCAGTTATTGGCGTCCATATAGGATTGCACCAGATTAATAGTAATAATTGATGCTCACGTATATATGCCAAAAAAAGGTGTTCTTCTTCGGATCATGTTTGTTCCGGTTACATAATCACGGGAAGCAACCTTTGCACAACATATTCCTCATCGTGGTACTGAAGGAGGTGCTCCTTCAACCGCCTCCTACTCTCGTCGTACTCCGCCGATATTCTCTTGTAGTGGAGGAGGGGGTCATCATCGGCGGCTCCGAGTCCGTATAGAAACGCGTTGTAACCGTAGGGCCAGCCCGTCGGCCGCCACTCCCGCACCAGCTCCAGGAATCGGTGGAACGCGTCTCCGGTGGCGGCGGCGAGCGGGGGATCCCCGTCCTCCACCGCCCTCCACTCCGCCAGCACCCTCAGGTCGTACAGTTGGGGGAAGAAGACGTTGCATCTCCGCAGGAACGCCTCGCGCCGGGGCGGGAGGCCGCCATCAAGGTGCCTGAGCAGGTACGCCACGTCGGCGGCGCCGTCCCGCGTGGCGCAGACGCAGTCGGGCATGGTGGCGCGGGTGTAGCTCCAGAGGGCCTCGCAGAAGCGGCGCGGGCTGGCCTCGCCGCGCCCCTCCCCGAGGTGGAACCGCCACACGCGGCCGGCCGGAGGCAGGTCGCCGTCGAAGCTGAGGAGGGCCAGGCCCAGCTGCACGGACCGCACGCCGTCCACGGCGGCGCGGACGGCCTCGTAGCTGTCGTCCAAGGTGCGTGTGGGCGACGGGCCCGGCGGCAGCTCGATGGACGTGGCCACCGCCGCGACCCTGAAGCCCCGGGCGAGGCCGCGGATGCGGGCCAGCTCCGCCGCCTCGTTCTGGGCCCACACGTCGACCACCCGCACGGTCCTGCCACCGCCGGATGATTCACCATGCGACATGATTGACGTGGTTAGTTTCTTGTTCCTGATCGAAGAAGCTCCGGCTATTGTTGTGGGCAGGCGAATTGGATCGATGCCCTCGGGCCTCAGGACGAGATGAGAATATATAACGGTACGACACTCGGAATCCCTTGGAAAACGGGTTACAAAACAACTAAAAGTAAGAAAAACATGGAAAACAAATATCAGAAATTAACGCAAGACAGAAGCAAGAACAGATTTGCTAATTATATAGTTAGGTCTCAACTTAATTTTTAATCATGACTAGAAGGGTTGGACGTGCTTTCCTGCGTCATTGGTGTTGTTTTTTTCTTTTAAATTACTCATTGTTTCAAAATATAATGTGCATTACTTTTTTGAAAAGTCGGACCTTTTAAGCCTGATCAAATTTGTAGAGAAATATATGAAAATTCATAATACCAAATCGATAGGGTTAGATTCATCATGAAATGGATTTCTATACTATTTTTGTTTAATATTGCGGACGTCGTTTAATATTGTGGATGTCGATATTTTTTGCTCCGAACTTGTTCAAAGTTAAAGAAAATTGACTTTCCAAAAATAATACCCCTTATATTTTGGAACTGGTGGAAAATTTAGTTTGACGGGTGGGGGGTGACGGAGTGTGTTTGATTTTTATTTATAGTACGGTGGTTTGATGTGACTTTTCTGGTGTAGTTCTCTGTTATCTGCTAACCAACGTATATTTATGAGAAATTTCCGCGACGCGATTGCATGTACTATATTGATGCTACAGTGTCACATGGTGACGCTTCTTTTCTTTAGGTGGTGGGAGGGTGCGCGGGATTGATGTATTTTTATAGCCCGGTGGCTGCTAATTGATTTGAAAATCACTAGCATGATCAAAATCGTAAACCAAATCCAAAATTGAATACCTAAATTGAATGAAAAAGTTTCAAAATAGGAATATGGCGAATTAAAAGAATTAAATGGGATATCTCTTGAGAAATTGCTGACCCGGTCAAAATCGGGTTGATCCAATTCTAAATTGAAGATCTCAATTAATTGTGAGGCCTGAAAATTTAGGAAATATAGTGTATAGTATAAAAACTAGAAGGAGATAGCTTTGAGAAATTGTTGACGCTGTCAAAATCAGTTGACTCAATTCTAATTGGAGTCCTCAATCGAATGTGGGCTCTTTAAAACTAAGGAGCTTAGTTTTATGAAGTATATCAACCATCAAGATATGTGTTTTTTATTTTACGGTGTCGTCCAATACTGAGTCACATCCCGTCTGTCTCTTCGCGGGCTCGCGGCCCGTTTAACCGGGCGCCCATGTAGGGCAGTTTCACCGGAAAATCCTATTCAGGAGTTCCTGTTCGGCGCCAGTTTAACCGCGCGCGTCACAACATGGGCCGGCCCAACAACCCTAAACCTGCAGAAAAAAGCAAACCGCGAGGATAAATGTTCAGCTTTAACTGGGAGTCGATCTCTAAATGAGAAGGAAAACGCCCACACGTGCTAACCACTCGGATGCCCCTCCGTTTGCAGATCTATAACGGAAACAGAGCTCCTTTGACCATTCATTCAGTAAAAAAACTAAACATATACTAGTATTATATACTCACAATAATTAATTGAATAAGGAAAACATAAATTTGAAAAAGCTTCCACAAAAACCACGAATTGAAAAAAAAAATTCAAAAATGCACTGTATGAATTGAAAAAAAATCGCAAAAATGGAGAAAGTTCGTGATTTTTAAAAAAGTTCATCAAATTTGGAAAAAGTTTATCGAATTTTAAGAAAGTTCATCAAATTTGAAAAAGGTTCATCAAATTTTTAAAAACGAGTTCATGAAATTTTAAAAAGTTCATCAATTTTGAAAAAAGTTCACCGACTTTGAAAAAAAGTTCACTGAATTTTGAAAAAAGGTTATCGAATTAAAAAAAGTTCATCACACTTTCAAAAAAGTTCATTAGATTTGAAAAGAGATCATCGAATTTAAAAATTCTTCATCAAATTTGAAAAAAAGTTCTTCAATTTTGAAAAAAGTTTATCAAATTTTTAAAAAAGTGTGTGGAAGTTAAAAAGAGTTCTTCAAGTTTGAAAAAAGTTCATTAAATTGAAAAAGAGTTCATCAAATTAGAAAAAGAGTGCACGGAATTTAGAAAAAAAATATCAATTTAGAAAAAGGTTCACGAACTATAAAAAATCCCGCATTAAGGAAAACAAAAGGAAGAAACAGAAATTGTTACGAAAAAAAGTAAAAGGAAAAAAGAAAAAGAAAATAACAAACCGTGTTAAAACAAGAAGCGAAAATGAGAAAATTCAAACCGCTCACGAGGAATTGGCTGTGGGTTCGAAACCCCGATGGAGCACCTTTTTTGCGTTTAGTAAAACTCCTATATGGGCAGGCCCAGTGCGGGGCGCCTGAAGCGCCCGTTAGCCGAATACACATTAACAGCCGCCCGCGGCGCTAAATAGGATTCTCCATCCTATTCGCCACTCGCTGCGTCGTAATGTCGGGGGTGCGCTCGATGCGGTGGCCGGCCCAACTGCTAGTGAAGCTTTTTTCTTCTTCTTGGTTATGTCTGTTTCTTTTTTTCTTTTATCGTTTTTCTGTTTGTTTTCTTTCTTTGGTTTGTTATTTTATTGTCATTTTTTTTCTCCTCTTTTATAAAAATAATTTCAAAATATTCAAAGTTTGTTTGTGTTTCCATAAAATGTTCAGTTTTTGAAAAAATGTTCTCAAAATTCAAAATTATTCTTGTTATAAAAAAAAGTTCAAAACTTTTGAAATTAAGATAATGTATCGGACTTCAAATTTTTGCTCACATTTTCAAAATAAGTTCACGCTTCCAAATTTGTTTGGGATTTTCAATTTTTTTCTCCGTTTCAATATTTGTTCTCAATATTCAAAAAATGTTTGTTCCTTTAAAAATTGGTCGCGCTTTCAAGTTTGTTCTCTGTTTCAAATTTTGTTCTCAAGATTAAAATCTTTTTGTAAACTAAAAAAATGTTCAGGGAATTATATAAAATTTCTCGTTTTCAAAATTTGGTCATAATTTCAAAAAATGTTCGAATTTTCAAAATATGTTCTCTGTTTCCTTTTTGTTTTTATTTTTCTTTCCTTTTGTGTTGTTATTTTTCATGTTTCTTTTGTTTGAAATTTTCAAATATTTGTTCTCAATATTAAAAAATGTTCTCGTGTTCAAAATTTGACAAAATGATTTGTGTTTCAAAAAATGTTCTGGAATTTTAAAATGTCCAGTATTTTGAAAAATGTTATAATTTTCAAAATATATTCAGGATTTCAAAAAAATTTATGGATTTCAAATTAATACTTCATGTCCGTCTTTAAAAAAATGTATTAGCTACAGTACTCCTACAGTATCTACAGCATGTCCATACCAGTACATTGTTCTCAAAAGGCTGCTCTGCTTATATGTCACCAAAATTTGATTGGTTTGTTGGCTATCGTTGCGCCCACAATAGCGGGAGATCCAGCGTAGCGAGAGGCGTAAAGGAGCTCCCTGCCTAAGGCGCCGTATAGGAGGGAATTCCCTAACGGACGCACGCTGCATCAAGATGTCAACGTATCGCAACTAGCCGATTGAGAGGGAGCCATCGCAGTGGCCCGGCCCATGTTAGCTGTTTAGCGTTAACTCGGATCATGGTTTTGAGAATGTTCAAACTCCAGTTTTTTCTGGTTTAGGAACCTTCTAGAAGGTTCCTGCAAGAATTAAGCTGGTTTCCCGTTGTTGCTTTGTTTTTTTTTACTTTTTACCTTTTTTTATTACTTGGTTCTTTTTTCTTTTATGTTTCTTTTTTATTTTCTTTTTTCGTTTTTTCTTTTCAAGTTGATTTCACTTCTAATATTTTTTTCGAAATTTTGAAATTTTGGTCAGATTTTCCAAAAATGTTCCTCCTTTGAAATTTTGTTCATATATTCAAAAAAATATTTAAGTTACGAGAAATTACAGGAATTTCAAAAAATGATTTTTTCTTGAAATTTTGTTCCCAAGTTGAAAAAATGTTTTGGAATTGCAAAATATGTTTCTATTTTTTGTTGTTCACAATTTGAAAAATTATTCATTTCTGAAAAAATGTCCAGGTACGTTTGTGGTTTCAAATTTTGGTCGTAAATTAAAAAAAATGTTTGAATTTTAGAAAATGTTTAAGAATTTCAGAAAAATCGCGATTTCAAATGTTTGCATGAAATGTTTCCATTATTTCGTAATTACAAATTTTGATGAGAACTTCAAAAAATGTTCCCGTTTCAAAAATATGTTCAAGAATTTTAAAAAATGTTCACTCTTTCTAATTGTTCAGAATTTCATGAAATGTTGCATTCTAAAAAATTTATTCATAAATTAAAAAAATGTTCATGCTTTCAAATTTTTGTACCAATTATCTTGAAATGTTCCACTTTTCAAATATTTGTTAAAAAATGTAAAAAATGTTTGCAGTTTCAACATTTGTTCAGAGTTTCATAATTTGTTTGCAAATTCAAAAAATGTTTTTCAAAAGAATATTTTTGTTCCATTTTTCTGCCTTTTCAATTTCTTGTTCACATATTCATAAAATGTCTATGTCTCCTTTTTTTTCTGTAGGAATTCAAGAAATGTTGGTACTTTTTGAAAATATACATTAAAAAAACGTTGAACCCAGTAACTAACTTAGATTCGCTACAATAGTACTTTCGATTCGCTACATGGTTCCGGTTCACTAAAGTATACCATTCCAGTTCTGCATCTACGGTTAGAGCAACTCCAACGGGGCGACCCATTTCGTCCGCCGCCGTCCATTTGAAAATATACGGTTCTTTAAGCAATGCACTGCCTGATTAACAACAGTATTGGTTAGCCCGAGTGGCTAGTAGTGCGTGATAGGACGCACTTGGTCTCCGGTTTGATTCCTGGGTCGCTCCCGTTTCTTTTTGCTGCTATATTTTCTGCCCTGCTAGAACTCGATGGGCCGGCCCAGTCACGTCCCTCTCTGTGTGTCAGGCCGCCAATTTGACGCAAAGCGCGTCAAATAGGGAGGGGCTCACGGTTTCACCTGGTCCGGCCCAGGCGATGATGAGGCTACAACCCCTTTTTCTGTTTTTTCACTTTTATGTTTGTGGTTTTTGCTTTATTTCTTAGTTTACTTTATTTATATTTCCAAAAATTACAAATATATATATTAAAAAATAAGTTTAACTAAAAATTGAGAATAAGCATTTGAAATTGTTAAATGTGTAGAAAAACAATTCCACATATATGAAAAATGTATTAAAAAGTTAATCATGTGTTTTAAAAATGTTAATCAAGCTTTTGTAAAAAATCAAGTATTTTCAAAATGTTAATATAGCCTTTAAAAATGTTTAATGTATATAGGAAAAACCTTCGCATACAAATGAAAAAGATGTACAAAAAATGTATACGAAAAAATAATGCTCATGTATTTACAAAATGATAAACGGGTATAAAAGTGTTCCTGGTATGTAGGAAAAATGTACAACAAGATTAGATAAAAGTAGACATCGAAAAAAGATTTAGAAAAATTAGATTATGTATTTGAAAAAGTTAAATAAGTATATTAAATGTTCCTGACGTATAAGAAAGTTAAACATTGTGTGTGAAAACATGTTTATGCCATAAAAAAGTTCACCATGTATTAAAAAATGTTGACACTGTATTAAAATTGTTAATATTGAATTCAAAGATTGTTAAACATTAATTCAAATATTGTATTTGAAATATATATATTTATATATAATTATAAAAGGATAATTATGAAAACACGTATAGTCTTAAAAAGTTAATTATGTATTTAAAAATGCTAAACATGTATAATTTATTGTCTAATGTATACGAAAGATAGTTCACCATGTATTTGAAAATGATGATCATTTATTAGAAAAATAGTTCATAACTTGTATTAAGAAAAAATGTTTCACATGATACTAAAACTATACATTGTGTTTTGAAAAACATAGACATGTGTTACCCAAAATGTAAAGGATGAAAGACCGACAAAGAAACAAATACAAACGAAAAAAAATGAAAGCCAAAAAACAAACAATTGATTCCAGTAAAAGAAAAAAAGTCCCGAAGAAAATGAATGCAAAAGAATGGAAAGGGTGAAACACAAAAAAGAAACAAATAAAAATAAAGGAAAGAAAAAAACAAAGTGAACCGTAGAAAAAATAAGAGAGGAAAAGCTAGCGAAAACCAAGAAAAAACAAAGGAACCAAAGAAATCATAAAAAAGATAAATTAGTAAATATCCAGTATAAATTGAGAAATAAATGACGAGAACCGATGAAAAAAAGAAAGAAAGCTCTCCACGCCGCGGCTCGTTCTCCCCCCGCCGTCGACATGCCGTCGCGCGCCGCAAGCAGCTCCAGCTACCGCGGCATCCGCGCCCGCCCCTCCGGCGTATATTACGCGAAGAATCGCTCCGGTGATATACCTCTCGGTCTCGGGACGTTCGAGACCGCCCACAAGGACGCCCGCGCGTACGACGCGGCAGCGTGGCGCCTCAATCGGCCACGTTCGTAGATGAATTTCTCGGACGCCCGGACGCGCCAGCAGGCGCGGGACCTCACGCCTCCACCGTGGCTAATCACCAACGAGGACCGCCGCATTAAGCATAGGCGGGAGCGCCGCCTCCTCATTGTCGAGGCGGACGAGTACGCCATGACGGGGTGGTGCCAGCGCTTCCCGGAGGATGTCGCCGCCGAGAACGACTTCTGGGTGTAGAGGAGGGCGCAGCGAGCCGCAGAACAGGCGGGCAGGCGTGCGCGGAAGGCACTGGCGATAGCACAGTGCGAACTGGGATCGGCGTCGATCTTTGACGACAATGATCCTCGGTGGAATGACACGTTTCTGCCGTCGAACTACACCACCGAGGAGGACGACAATGAGGAGTAATTTCTAGTATATTTGCATCATAGTAACGTTTTTATCTATTTTTATTATTTGTATCGTATGGACTAGTTTGTGGTGTTGGGCTTGAACTAGCCTATTTGTATCGTATGGATTTTATCTATATGTTGATTTTTTATGTATATGCTATTCATATGTGTTGCATGATAGTACTGGTTGCTCGCGCGCTCCTTTTTTTGCAGTGCCTGCTGGAGCTGCTCGCACGGGCCAAATTTTGCAGGGGCGCTAGAGCCAGCGCCCTGCTTCGCTAGAAAAGACACTATTTCGGCGTTGTAAAATAGTTTTAGCGCACCGTGCGGTTGAGCGCCTATTCCAGATGCTCTGAGTACTCCTCCTACAGATCACTTCCACCTTCCATGTGGCGACAAGTGGCGCGCTGCATGTTCGCTATTTGTCGCAATCTGGGAGTTTTCCCTTTTTCGTAGACCCGTTTATTCAAAACGATTTATCTCTTAAACTGTACGTTCAAATCTCGAATTATTTTCACCGGTGGATTCCTCTGGTCGAGATCTTCAAAATTAGATCCCATATAGATAGATTTTGATGAACTTTTTTCACATAAAATAGACCAAAAAATCGAACTGGAAGCACGTTTTTTTCCCTTTCCGAAAGCCGTTTCCGAGAGGCACGGCCATGCCTCTCGCGAAAGCAAAATCACGCTTCTCACGAAAGAATAAAGAAAATAAAAACACCTTTTTTTTTGTTTCCGAGAGGCACAGCCGTAGCTCTCGCGGTAGCAAAACCATCTCTCTCGTGAAAGCAAAATCGTGTCTCTCATAGAAGAAAAAAAAAGAGAGAAAAAATGCATTTTTTTGTTCCCGAGTGGCAAGTGCCTCAAGTTCAGTTCCAGACGGCCAACGACCCTTGTGGAAATTCATTTGCTCTGCTGAAGTCCCGCCTATAGTTCGAAACTTTGCTTGGCGAATTGTTTTGGATTCCCTTCCAACCTGGCAAAACAAACACAAACGAGCACTCGAGACTACTAGTATGTGTCCAGTATGTAGTATAGAACCCGAGGATAATTTTCATCCCTTTTACAGATGCCCAAGAGGCCGTGAACTCTGGAAGTACATGTCAGAAGTATGGCACCTACCGGCTGTGGATCAGGTCAAGCATACTGGGAAGGAATGGGTATTTCATATATTGGAACCCTTATCTGTGATTGAGAGAAGCAAGCTGCTCATGACTCTATGGCGTTGTTGGTTCATACGGAATGAGATAGTTCATCTAAAGAAGCCACCCCCACTTGCCATGCATCATAAACTAAAATTTTAACATATTACAAAACGGAGAATTAAAAAATTAGACTTGCCATGCACCATAAACTAAAATTGTCATGATACATGCACTTAAAATTACCATGGTTCAATAAAAAAATATTTTCATGGTCAAAGTACTGGAATTGCCATCATCAAAAAACTAAAATTGTCATGATCTATAAACTAAAATTGCCACATGACAACTTTATTTTAAGCACTATGACAACTATAGTGTAAACATCATGGCAATTTCTGGGCAAAAAAAATCGTTGAAACATATCAATATGGGGTCTAGTTTTGAAGATTTCGTTGAGACGGATTTAATGGTGAAAACGGATTTTTAGTTCGCTTTTTTATTTAGAAGATAAAACATTTTAAAGCCGAAAACTAAAGAGATGTCTGCTAATGTCATCTATTTATACGTGGCAAAATGAATGATGATGGAGACGTGTGAGTGATCTGCAAACGCCCACCCGTATGGGCGATAGTTTTTCCGTTTTAAAAATGGTCAAAACAGTGATTTCGGCCTCGAGAGGTTGATTACCAAAGACTAGTCCTGGTGTTGCCGCTTTTCACTTTCCCCCTCCCCCCTCTCATCGGATCTGGACTCTGGAGAGGAGACGAGATTCGCCGGCGATGGCAGAGGAGTCGTGGGAGGAGGGTCGGGGGTTGGACTTCCTCGAGAGCCTGGGCCCGGACATCTCCGCCACCGTCTTCAGCCTGCTCGACGACCCCGCCGACCTCGCGCGCGCCACCACCGTCTCCCGCTCCTGGCGCCGATTCGGTACGCCCGAATTCCCTGGATCTGCCTCCACATGCCTATGCATCCATCTATGTCGATTCTAGCCTAGGTAGGTACTTAACTAATCAGCGACCCATTCCATGCAGAAATTCCATAATCGATTTCACGACCATGTCACCCAAATAGGCCGCTTACAGAACTATCTCAATTGTTGCTGTTATTATGCTGCCTTGTGTTCGTTTTTCTGTTCACTGATAACCACCCACCCCAATCCTCACAACGTCCCAACTGAATACTGAATGTCTGAATTGGACCTGCCATTATGCTCACTGGCTTATACTGATATATAGCTCTGTCACTGAATCGGATTATTGCTGCTATGCTAGCTGGTGTTTGTTTTTTCATTGTCAGTGACAAACTAACCACAAGGTTCAGGCCAGCTGAATTTGAATCTTTTTATGCAGTTATTGCAAACCAGTTCAGCAAGATCCTGTGCCTGCGGGTTTATCCGGAGGTGTCCAACTTCACACGTGTTGAGTTGAGCAGCATCAGCAGTGCACACCGAAATGCTGGATCAAGTGCTTGTGCTGGGCTGGAGAAGCTCGGGAGGGATCATAGGGTGTATATGCATCTTAGCCATGGCCTTCTCTCGCCGTACGACCCCAAGGATTGCATCAGTCACTGCATGGGCGCATCCAGCACTGATCGTTTCCCTGAGGAGGCCATAGAAAATACCATTGAACCGGTTGATCGTCAGGAGAGTAAACTGTCTTATTGGTCGAGTGGTGGCCAGAAAGATCCTGCTGTGCCAGAATGCCTGATATATAGCCTTCAGTCAGAGCTGTGTCTTGTTGATGAAATCAGGATACGGCCATTAAAAGGTTTGGCGCCTAAGACTTGATTCAGCCTTCTTTCTGTATGCAAAAGGTGCCTTCTGCGTTAATACTCTTCACCGTGCAGCATTTTTTCGATATGGTCATCCGATATATTCAGCAAAACACGTCCGGTTCCGCTTGGGCTATCTAAAACCACCCCACTGGTCTGAAACACATGTATATGTTGAAAGTGATGCGGAGCTGATTGATGATAGCAACTATATCTGGACGTACACATCTCCAGAATTTCCAATGCTACAGGTCAGTTGAATACATATTCCTAGCTGTGCTTCTTGTCTGTGTAATAAACATAAAATTTAGATATTTCAAAGTAACATGAGGCGTGATATTCCAGGAAAATGTGATGCAGTCTTTTAAGCTACCACACTCAGTTCTATGTATTGGTGGAGTGGTGAAGATTGAGCTTCTTGGCAGGGTCCACAAGGACACGTTTGATGGTCGGTACTACATATGGTGAGCTTTCGAGCACTTGTAGACACACTGCATTTAGTTCATATGATCATCTCTTCCTGTTACACTGATATATTGGCTATGCACTTTGTCCCAGTGTGTCTCATGTCCAACTAGTCGGGAAGCCACTGTCAGAAGATTTTGGGGTCGCCCCGAGCAAAAATGATGTAGTTCTCAGTTACTATCTGGATTATCGTAGATTCGGGGGACGATCACAGCAAAGTACATGACTTTGCGATGAGGATCTGGCACTTCGGTATGTCTTGAGGGATAGGAGAACTGAACCATGAGTGTTAGCACGCTGTCCTGTGGGTACATAAAAGAGATGCAACAGAGGAGAAGCTTCCATACAAGTGAAGCATATCTCGTCGAGCTCGTGTCTATCGGTTTCGAATAAAAGAAGTCCTTTGTGATCCCGTGGGAAACTGAAAATGTATTTGTTTGTGTAACTGACAAGGACGAAAGAGACGCATGATTGACTCGCTTGTTATAAAATCACTGCTAATATTATTAAGATCGAGTGAGTCCATCTACGAATGAATGAATATAAACATCTTGAACCTATTTGGAAGAAGGAATGAATCTGGAGCCTTGAGGTACTATCAATGTACATTACATACATTTTGTACTAAAGTTAGTACAAAATTGAGTCATCTATTTTGGAACGGAGGGAGTAGAAAATATAACTTGCACTTGTTAGAAAACCGATCTACTCTCTCGCTAATTGGATGTAATAAGGTCTTGTATTATTGGACGGAGAGGCGTAAAATTTAGGTGTGCCCATCACAACCCACTTTATGGAGGAAAAACTTATGTATTGTGGCAGCCAAACCTAAAATTCTATTCTGAAAGCTACATTATTGGTTAGCCCTTAGTAGTGTCCGCAGGAGAATTGCTGAACCAAAGCGTGCTTGGAAGCCAGCCTTGGACGGTTCGACCTAGGCTGTGTCTGTTCTTGGACACCACGAGGCACCTTGGCTCCTGCTAGGTGGATTGGCGCACATGTCGCCATCATTCCCGCCGACAGCTTGCCAAAAACTTCTCGGTACACACGACGAAACTTTGGACTGATCGGTCTCGCGCAGGTGCAGATGCAGGTCCCGCCTGCCGCGGGCGCCGCACTGACTTAGAAAATTCATAGCCCTACCGTCGCCATGCCTAGCAGATCAATCACTGGTGCCCACGATCGTATTTTTTTTTACCACGCATTGCTTCCTATCACGTCCCGTTCATTGACAAAGTGACAATCTCCACCGGCTTAAAATTTGATCCATTCATCGCGTTTTCCCCACGTCACGTCACCATGAACGTCACCCAGCATGATATAGCCTCAAACATCGGCCGTGTAGGCGCACCATTGACCGGGGTGTTGGTGTGTGGTCACACACTCGCACTGACTAACCAGCTAGATTCGGATCGAGCTGCCATTGATGGCGATCTGGGAGGAGCTGCACTTCGTGCTGGTGCCGCTGGTGGCGCAGGGCCACATCATCCCCACGGTGGACGTGGCGCGCCTCCTCGCCGCGCGCGGGCCAAGGGTCACCGTGGTCACCACGCCCGTCAACGCCGCGCGCAACAGGGCCACCGTCGACGGCGCCAGGAGGGCCGGTCTCCCCGTCGAGTTCGTCGAGCTCCCCTTCCCCTGCGCGCAGCTCGGCCTGCCCGAGGGGGTGGAGGCCATCGACCAGATGGCGGGGCTCGAGCCGGCCATGTACCTCAGGTTCTTCCAGGCCATATGGAAGATCGCCGAGCCGCTGGAGGAGTACCTCCTGGCGCTGCCGCGCCGGCCTGTCTGCCTCGTCGCCGACGCGTGCAACCCGTGGACGGCGCCCGTGTGTGAACGCCTCGGCATCCCCAGGCTGGTGATGCACTGCCCCTCCGCCTACTTCCAGCTCGCCGTGCACCGCCTGTCGGCGCACGGCGTGTACGACCGCGTCGGGGACGACGTGACGGCGCCGTTCGAGGTGCCGGACTTCCCGGTGCGCGCCGCCGGCAACACGGCCACGCTCCGGGGGTTCTTCCAGTACCCCGGCGTGGAGAAGGAGTACCGTGAAGCGCTGGACGCAGAGGCCACCGCCGACGGCCTGCTGTTCAACACGTTCCGCGGCATCGAGGGCGTCTTCGTGGACGCGTACGCGGCGGCCCTCGGCAAGAGGACGTGGGCCGTCGGGCCGACCTGCGCCTCCAGCAGCATGGCCAACGACGCCGACGCCAAGGCTAGCCGCGGCAACCGCGCCGACGTCGACGCCGGGCACATCGTCTCGTGGCTCGACGCCCGGCCGCCGGCGTCCGTGCTGTACGTCAGCTTCGGCAGCATCTCGCAGCTGACGGCGAAGCAGCTCGCCGGGCTAGCGGGCGGCCTCGAGGCGTCCGGGCGGCCGTTCGTGTGGGCGATCAAGGAGGCCAAGGCGGACGCCGCCGTTCGGGCGCTGCTCGACGGCGAGGGGTTCGAGGCGCGCGTCAAGGACAGGGGCCTCCTCGTGCGCGGGTGGGCGCCGCAGGTGACCATCCTCTCGCACCCGGCGGTGGGCGGCTTCCTGACGCACTGCGGCTGGAACGCGACGCTGGAGGCCGTCTCCTACGGCGTGCCGGCTCTGACGTGGCCCACCATCGCCGACCAGTTCTGCAGCGAGCAGCTGCTCGTGGACGTGCTCGGCGTGGGCGTCAGGTCCGGCGTCAAGATCCCCGCCATGTACCTCCCGAAAGAGGCCGAGGGGGTTCAGGTGACGAGCGGCGACGTGGAGAAGGCGATCGCGGAGTTGATGGGCGGCGGGGCGGAGGGGTCGGCGAGGAGGGTCAGGGCCAACGAGGTCGCCGCGGAGGCGAGGGCGGCCATGGAGGAAGGCGGGTCGTCGCACTCCGACCTGACGGACATGATCCGCTATGTCACGGAGCTGTCGAAGCAGAGAAGCCACGAGAGATCGACGGCCCTGCCTTCCGAGCTCGGAGAGAAGAACGAACAGGATGCTGTGCTGTCAGTGCAAATGGCGCAAGTTAGCATTTAGGATCGGATCTTCTGTTTCCCGGAATAAGTTCAGCGTTGGATCATGTTGTATACGCAATATAAAACGCGATTGATGATCAGTTTTGCTAGAACTCATCTAGATGAAATATAATTTGGTCTCATTCACCTTTTATAGCCATCGGATGTGATGCTATAAGATGCGTGTGTGCTGACGTAGGCTGTATCTCTTCTTGTTTTCAAAGTGAATGAGACCAAATTATATCTCATCTAGATGAGTTCTAGGTACTCCCATTGATGATTGATCATGCTGTCTGTATATAATTGCACGCGAACGAAATGTCTATCTCTTCGGTTCATCAATGAACAAATCACATAGTAGAATAAAATTGTCCTCGCCACAACTTTATGTTCACGTGGTAGAGAATGGCTTCAGGGTCACATGTCAGCTAGCAATGTACTATGTGATTTTTCCACCTTTTCTAGGAGTATTTTCCATCTTTATTTGGGCATTGATGTCCGTTGATGTGCACCTGAAGCAATTCGTTTCTTACAGCTTCCCACCAACGAGATTAGCATGCTTTGACATGCGATGGCCTAATTAATCTCATGCGATGACATGAGATTAGCATGCTTTGACATGCGATGGCCTATGTCACGGAGCTGTCGACGAAGAGAAGCCACGGGAGGGACGGGAGCTCGACGGCCCTGCCTTGCGAGCTCGGAGAGAAGAACGAACAGGATGCTGTGCTGTCAGTGCAAATGACGCAAGTTAGCATTTAGGATCTTCCGTTTCCCGGAATAATAAGTTCAACGTTGGATCATGTTGTATACGCAAATATAAAACGCAATTGATGATTGATCCTGTTCTCTGTACATAACTGCACTGGAACGGAATGTCTATCTCTTCATTTCATGAATGAACAAATCACATAGAATAAAATTGTCCTAGCCACAACTTATGTTCACTTGGTAGAATGGCTTCAGGGTCACATGTCAGCTAAGCAATGTATTTTTTGTGTATGTGTGTGTGAAAAACTTAGCACTGTATTTTCCATCTTTATCTGGGCATTGATGTCCGTTGATGTGCTCATGTGCACATGAAGCAATTCGTTTCTTAGAGCTTCCCATCAACGAGATTAGCCTGCTTTGACATGTCATGGCCTAATTAATCTCACGTCAAAAGTATCTAAGTTATCAGATCTACGGTGTACCAACTACCGTGCTATTTATAGAGAAGTTAACCGGGGCTATGTTTCAACACCTCCCTCCCCGGTCAAAAGTTACCATGTTTTTGTGTGTAAGTTATTTTGGTCTGTGGCGTGCAGATTATCATACTATTTACACAGAAATTATCGGTATATTTTAACAATAATTCTGCATAGATAATAGGTTACCTTGGTATTTGTATGTAAGTTTACACGCCCGTGGTGCGTAAATAACCATGCTATTTAGACAGAAAGTTATCAATGTATGTTTTAGCAACAAAAAAATGTCGGGTCAAACAGTAGAGTACATATTTGATTGGTTAGTCTTGATAGTGTTGTATTGACTTAAGTCCCACCTCTAGCAGTGGTCCGCCACCTCTTCCCTTTTTGACATCTTTTATAGTTGCCAACACGATGTTAATGACGTGCTTAAAAAAATTGACACACGGTAGTAAGTAAACGTTGATGATGCTTTAGAGCATGGTTAATAGTATAGCCAGCTGCTGGCTATAAGCCAGTGCCATGTCATCTACAACTCATCTTATAGCCAACATGTATAATAGTAGATCAAAAGAGTGTACTACTTTTTCATTATGTGGCCCACCTTTCATTCTCACAAAGTGCCTAGGAGCACGTGCTAGAGCTGGCTCTTCACGAAGAGCCCGCTTACCTTCTCTCTCCTCTTCTCTTTCCTCCAACTAAGTAAAAATATACTAGTTTATTCCATATAGCCTGCTGACTCATCTCTATTATACTTGCTCTTAGGGAAGCTCAAGAAAACAACCTTTTATACTAGTGTATGTAGTAAACAAAAGAGTTAGTTTTCATCTTCTAGTAAAAAAGGGTTAAAAAACTTGATTTTCTATGATGAACAAGAACCAATTTAGTCCCCACTGTTTAGTGCCTGTTACAGAACCGGCACTTTACGAACCGGTGTTATAGCCCGGTTCTGCACTAGTGCAAAAATGATATCATGCTAGCGAAGAGAGAAGAAAACCACTATATTTTTGATAATGCGGTTAAAAGAAAGATCAACTGGATAGTTTTTCTGTTAGTGGGC